TGTGAATAACTATACTATGATGAAGAGCTTGAAGCAAAAATTGACTTTGCATTTCTGAAATAGTAAACAAGGTCATATTCTCTGCATTGCTCATGTGATTTAACTTGTAATACAAACACTGATAAAGAATCTTAACATTGAGATGAAGAATAATGAGATGGCTGATTCTTGGGATGAGAATGAGATGAAAGTGATTACTCAAGTAACTTTTGTATTCACTTTACAAAAGATAATGTTTTTTGATAACACTTTTTGATATTACTTTTTGATAATGCTTTTTAATAATACTACTGTTAATTTTGAATAGATTGACTAATAATTTAAATATCATAGATTTAAAACATTGTTAATGTGATTTATATCTCTTCTAAACAATAATAATGATTTCATGATATTCAACAAATAAACAAATCAGTTATATCACTGAATATGATACAGAATGTTAGAACACAGTGAAGTTCAACATATGAGATAACTGTTCAGACTCTTTGATTGCATCAGATAATTGATCATTGAGTACAACACTCTGATTGAGAAAAGATTCAGATATTGAAACTTTCAGATATGAAGTGAACTCAGTTGAAATATGTGATTGATTTACTGTTTTAGTTTTATAAGATAATAAAGACAGTCTCAATCACTTATACATCAATGCTGCAGTCAGTCTGATGAGTGTATAACAGTTTATTTACTCATCTTGAGAAGTAGTTGAATCACTTAAAAAGAAATTCAGTCTGAGATGATGCTATAGTGCAGGCTATTGTTACTGTAAGAAATAAACTGGCATATTACTACAGTAAAATGAAACAATCTTTTACAGAGTACTATACTGTAGCAGCTCTACTAGATTTCTTCTGTTGAGTTAATATCTACACTTCTCAAGATTGAACAGAGAAGAAATGAGACTTATATGTTAAATTAGTCTGAGACTACTACAATGCCAACTATCAGAGATTTGAATGAGCAGATGTTTGAGATGTGAAGACAGTGAAATACAATTCTCTAATAAGTAATGATCTTTGATAACACTTCATATCACATAGAACTATAATACTAACTTTGAAACAGAACTTGCATACATTGATTATAACTGAAAATCAGACAAAACTACATGTTTGTAAAACTGAATTTGACTGCTATCTTCAAGATAATCTGACAAATTTACACACTAAATCAATTCTAGAGTTATGAAAAATTATTAAGAGTATATATTCAACTGTTACACTGATGATATGTGATATTCTGACAATTTCATTGACAGGGGTGAGAATGAAGTGAAAGTTCAACTCAAGTTGAGATATTTATCACTATCACTGAGAACAATTATAAGAAGAAACAATCAAGAAACTCATGATTGTAAAACATGAAATTATCAGACAGTTTAATATCTCTGATCACAGTATATCAGAGAAGTGTAGTTTTCATGAGAAAGTGAAGAATAAACTTGCACAAGAATGTATTTAGTTGTTTCATGAGTGTTACTAATAATCATTATCAAATTCTGATTATATAAGCAATCACTGAATGAACTGAATGAGACTGATTTTAATCTTCAGTCTCAGTCTCATTCTGATTTTGAAAGAATGATCATCTTTCACAGTTTATCCTGGAAAATTACTCTCATTTCACTGTTCTTGAATTAAATCTGGTCATTTTTCATGCCATTTCTCTCAGAAATGGTTCATTTTCAGATTTTTTTGAGGCTTGGTCCTGGTGGGACTCATGCCAAGAAATGTATAAGATCAGACCAAATGAAATCAAATGTGAAATTCATGATCCCGCCGGCCAGTCTAGCTATAACAGCTATCTGAAAATCAGAAATCTGAAAAGCTCTTAGATAAGCTATTAATTGAATTAAATATCAATTCAACTGTACTATAAAGATCATTTGTATTGATAATAATACTGCAGTTAAGAAAGCAAATGACTTTATAAATTAAGTAAATAATAAAGATCTAGAGATAAAGTATTCTTCAGAGTATATTCATGAGTAAAATAATACAGCAGAGTGAGTAGAAGTAATATTAATAATAAAAATAAGAACTTATAAATAGAATTTCTTCTATTATAATCACTTTTTTCTGAGATTATACTTACTATCATCTGTTTAGTGAATCAAATCTCTACTAGAATTCTAGATTGAAAGTCATCTTTATAAGTATTGAAAGAATTTCTACAAATCAAACCTTACTTTTATACTTATCTTCAAATCTATGAATATTGCATCTATATAAAGATACTGAATAAAGTTCTTAATAGAAACTGCTCTCAGAAGCTAGATTTCTGAGTATATATTAAATATCTAGTTGAATATAATTCTACAAACATCTATTGAATTTGAATTTCATACTTAGAATAAGTGATAAGAGTAAGAGATGTGATATTTAATAAGAATAGAAAATTCAACTCTGAAGATCTCTACATTGAAAGACAACTAAGAGATTGAGTATCTAAGAAGATGAAGCTTTTATATATGAAAGTTTGAGAATCACTGATGACTTCTATCAATTAATTGAAAGAGATTATAGATGCAGATATTAATATTTTCTATTTTAAAGAAAATACTCAAAGCTCTGAAAAAATAGAGAAGAAAAATAATAAGTATAAATATTATAATATTTTAATTCTTTCTACACTAGATTCAATGTCAGAGTCAACAGATTTTAATGTTAATATTAATACTTATTCAGCTGTAATAGATAATTGAATATGAAATATTGTATCTAGAGCTTATAATATCAGTACTAACTTTAATGAAGTAAATATTATTGATAACTGCAGAATCTGAAAATACAGAGCTGCTCATCTTATAATAGTTTCAAATGTTAAAAACAATCTATTTTAAATAATTAATAAGATATTCTCTCAATCACACTCAGACTGCTATAAGTCTTAAAATTTATTTTTAAATACTGTTTTCACAGTTATCAATAATACAGCTATATTAACAGTATTTATATTAACTTCAAGAATTTATAGATCTTAACTGTCAGATTCACTGAATCACTAAACAGATATTAAAAAACACTTATATTATAAAGAATTTAAGAATACTGTTAAATAAGAATGAGATAGTATATCTCTGCAGAATATATATAAAATTACTAGCAGATTACAGAGAGATATCTTAGTTATCTCTTTATAATAAGTATTTATCTATAAATTCAATGATGAAGATTTTCTTTTAAAATATAAAACTTATATCTATATATATAGAGATCTTTAATCAATTACAGATCTCACTATAAAAGCTTATATACTAACTATCAGAGATTTCTGAATCTTATTAACTTTAACAGCAGTATTTAATCTAGATATAGAATAGCTAGATAAAATCAATGTTTTTATTAATAGTAATATTAATAAGCTAGTATATATAAAACTATTTAATGAATAATGAAAGTTGAAGAGAATATAAAATTTAAAGTATGTAAATTATATACTAAAACTTCTATAAGTACTATATAAATTACATAGATTACTTCTTCTCTGATTAAATAAATTATCTTCAATATTAAGAATACTAGACTTTATCTTTATACTAGAGAATTAATATCTCTTCTCTAATAATTAATTAATTATCTTCTTTTATATGAATAATATTATTATTCTATTACAATGAGAAGATTTGAAAGAAAGAGATTAATTAATTAAAAATCTTAAAAATATCTATAAAATCTGATAAATAAGAGATTTGAAATGATTTCTTAATATATAAATAATATATAATTATCTCAATTTGAAGCTCTGACTATATCAGAATATTTATATTAATAAGATAGTTAATATATATTATCTTATATATATCTGTAAGATATATATCTTACTAACTAATACTCTATTAAAGTCTTTTAATGAGTCAGTTATATCTATAAAAATTTATTATTATTAATAATATATTAGCTTCTGTATCTACTCAGTAATAATAACTTATTTCAATATTATATATACAGTGAGTAAACTAGCTATATTTATAATAAATTCATTGAAATATTACTTATCAGAGATAAATAGAATAATATCTTATTTATATAATATGAAGAATCTTACTATTTAATATAATAATAATATTAACAGATCTTTATAACTTAATCTTAAATCTGATATTATTAAAGCTATTAGTGATATCTCTTTCACAGATAATCTAAATTACTACTCTATACAAGAATATATCTTCAAACTATTTAATAAAGCTGTTGATTAAAAATTAAATAGATAGATAATTATAACTATATCTATTACAGAAGCTGAGCTTATTACTATTTTATAAGCTGATAAAAAGTCTATTTAATAAAATAGATTCTTCTAATATATTTAATTTGAATCTGATTATAAAATCTGTATTTAATATGATAACTGTTAAACTGTTAATATTCTTATAAAAAAAGACTTCTCTATAATCACAAAGCTCTGTTATATTGATATATATGAAAGCTGACTCTGAGAATGTGTTTAATTCAGTGATATTACAGTTGATTGAGTGTCTATGACTCAGATACTAGTGAATGGCCTCACTAAGACTCTGTCATGTCAAAAACATACAGAATTTGTCAAGATGCTAGGCCTAGTTAATATATCAGATATCATCAAGATATAAGTAGAATAAATAATCTATCTTGATATAATCTCTACAGATTTATCTACACTCTTTTTACTACAGATTCATTTACACTCTTATTATTACAGCTTAATTTACACTTTCATTTACATGTTACATTTGCTGAAGAGAATGTGTCAGGAAAAAGAGATTATACACTACTGAATGCCATCAACATTATATTACTACAATATTTCTCATTATTATCAGCTTACTACAATACTCATCTAATACTTGCTTATACTAACTCTCTTGGCTTGCACATATATTTTACTATAAATAGCTCTATCTTTTGTATGAAATAGATATATTAGAGAGTGTACAGATAATATAACAAGCAGATCTTGATACACATAAGATTCATATGTCTTCAACATATTCATCCGTGACACCCATTCCGACACAGCGGCATATAACAAGGGCCCGCGCGAGTGCCGAGCAGGCCTAGCTTTTGCCGTTTCAAACTCAAAAAATGTTGCTTAGGCGGACACGAGCTGCAACCGGGTATAAACAGGCGGCTAAGCCAACATAGTAGAATTTTAACAATAATAAAAGTAATAACTAACTACATTCCCCATTAGCTATGCCTCTTCCAAAACAGTAGCAAACAAACCGAGGGCTAGCTGGCAGTTGACTCAATTCTACCACAAACACACCCTACCCTCCCATCGTTGTTCTGCGGCAACCAGACCCAGGCCCTAGGCTATTGGCGATGCGGGCTCCAACAGCCTCGGCTCAGCGCCGTCCTTGGGCCGGATAACTCTCCACCACCGACCGCCCAGAATCATCGCGCCGATATGCGATCTCGATCTCGTTCCCGGCTCAGCTATCGGCCCATCCTGCGTTCGGTTTAAATACACCGGCTTGCCCCATATCCGGCGCTGTCTTGGTCTGTCTTGGTCTTCACTCCCATCCCTTTCTCCCTTAACCAACATATCTCCTTATAGCTAGCTACACGAAAGCTTTGCTTGCGACCCCTGCAGTCCATACCCATCACAGTTCGTATTCAGCGCAAACCAATGTCGGCTTCCTCCAGAATCCCTCCCATGGCGCTGCCATTCGTCAGCGAGCGGGCAAAGAAGACTCTGGATCTAGTATGTTTTATCATCTATGAAATAAATCCCGCGCTTTCGCGGCGTTGCTTCCCTTCGGCGTCCGTCGGTACATGATGGATAGGTAGCAATATTCTCATGGCTCGGACTTCTCTTTTTTGTTTTCTTTTAACTGCCCCAGCTCCCGACTGACTGAGACACTCGTTTTTCTTTTCAGGTCCAAGAATTTGTCGAGAAAGACTGCGTCCCCGCAGATGCCGTTTTCCAAGCTGAGCTGGGTGAGGGCGCCCAGCGATGGACCACCACCCCCGTCATCCTCGAGGAGCTCAAAGTCAAGGCCCAAAAGCTTGGGCTATGGAATATGTTCTTGCCTAAGAATCACTTCAGGGAGGGTGCCGGCTTCAGTAACTTGGAGTACGGATTGATGGCGGAATATTTGGGTAGAAGCCGGATTGCCAGTGAGGTATGTAATTGCGAGATTTGCTACTCCCCGACACCCCTCAGTGGTCATCCGAGTTTTTTAGCCGGCCCGCTTCTTTTTGTTTGATTTCTTGTATCTGATTCTGATTGAATATACATAGGCTACCAACAATGCTGCGCCAGACACTGGTAATATGGAGGTCCTTGCCAAATACGGAAACGAGGCACAGAAGAGACAGTGGCTTGTGCCTCTGTTGGAGGGCAAGATCCGCTCTGCCTTCCTCATGACTGAGCCAGATGTTGCGTCCAGCGATGCTACCAACATCAAGCTCGATATCCGACGAGAGGGTAATGAATACGTCATCAACGGCCAGGTACGCTCAGCGCCACTAACTAATCAACCTCCTAACTTATTTATTCAACAATTACATGGAAAAAAAGCTAACTTATTATCCGGCCGGCTCTATAGAAATGGTGGTCGTCTGGAATTGGTGACCCAAGATGCAAACTCTTAATCGTCATGGGCAAGACCGACCCCAACAACCCGGATCCCTATAGACAACAATCCGTTGTCCTCGTCTCCATGGATACCCCAGGTATCACCGTCCACCGCATGTTGACCGTCTACGGCTACGACGACGCCCCACACGGCCACGGCCACGTCTCCTTCAACAATGTCCGAGTACCCGTCTCCAACATGGTCCTCGGCGAGGGCCGCGGCTTCGAGATCATCCAGGGCCGCCTCGGACCGGGCCGCATCCACCACACCATGCGTGCCATCGGAGCCGCGGAGAAGGCTCTTGAGTACCTCATCGCCCGCGCCAACGACGAGTCCCGCAAGCCCTTCGGCGCCGTCCTCTCCTCGCACGGTGTCATTCTCGAATGGATCGCCAAATCCCGCATTGAGATCGATGCTGCTCGTCTCATCGTGCTGAACGCCGCGATCAAGATCGATCAAGGCGATGCCAAGAGCGCGCTGAGAGAGATTGCGGAGGCTAAGGTACTCGTGCCCCAGACGGTACTGACTGTCATTGACCGTGCGGTGCAGGCTTATGGCGGCATGGGTGTCTGCCAGGATACGCCCCTGGCGGCCATGTGGGCGGGTATCCGCACCTTGAGGCTGGCTGACGGCCCTGATGAGGTGCACTTGCAGCAGATGGGCAGGAGGGAGAACAAGCAGCGGAAGGATGAGGTGACAAAGAAGATCAATTGGCAGAATGCGGAGTCGCAGCGGTTATTGAATTCTAAGGGGTTCAAGAGCCAATTGTAAATCAGAGGGGGGGATTTCCTTTTGTGATATTAAATGTTAAACTGTTTGTTGTTCTTTTGGGTTAACTAGTTAGAGAGTATTAAAAGATCTGAGGATTGAATCTACACTTTTATTTATCAATTTATCAATTTATATACATATGAGTTTTCGAGACTTATCAGTGTATATTTGTGATCAGTATTAGTTGACTGAGGTCATGTCATAATGCATCCGCCGACATCCTCCCAAGGCGGTGGCACGCGGCACTAAACAACCCGCGCCAGTCATCCCCGGTACCAAAGTTGCCCCTTCTCGTCATTTATTAAGACGCTGCGGCTCGCCTATCAACAACCTCCCTCATTTATCGCATATATTTCCACCTCATTGTCGGCGGCATTCTCTCATTTCGCGCGAGAGAGTAGCTCTATCTCTTTTCTCCCACATAACCATACTCCTTTTTTCCCCCTCTCTCTTCTTCCCTTCGTCCCCTTCCACCCGTCCAGCTCCCGCTCCCCAATGGATTCGAGTCCTGCGGCGTCCTGGCAACCCACCGACGAGTCGCGAGAGGCCACCATCATCTGACCCCGAACATAGCGCAGCGCAAGAGGAAAAGAAGAGACAGGCGGGAATTACGGTAACGGGGGAGAAAGAACGAGAAAACGGGGAAGCTGCTGAGCGCATCCTAGATTTCCTTGATGGGGATAGTGTCAAATATATATAAATATATATTCTGACTTAACTTGTCTCCTGCCTTTTTTTTTTTTTTTTTCTTCTTTTTTTTTTCCCCCGCTGGTGGCGTGGTATCGCAGTTTGTGTGCTTGCTTGTCTTACTACATTCTAGCAACTTTTCCTCTTCTGGTAATTTCTAGCTGGAAGGAGTTGGGAGAGCTGGGGCAATGGCAGCGGGAGGACGGGATGGTAATAATGCTGATGCGATGTGAGTTGATTTCTTGCAGAACAGAATGACGATATATAACTCCCCCCTTCCCTCGCAAAGATAGACGGAGGAGGTAGCTTGAGGAAATTGTTTTTTTCGCAAGTCGCGCTTCTTTTGCCTTGTATTTTGTTCTTTCGGAGGACATGAAAAAAATAAGATACAGATTACATGGTCGGGTGCTTACTTTCTCTTCTTTCTTCGACACTTTAGCCCCGAACTTGACGGTGAAAAGGATCTCTTGAGGGTTCTCTCTGATAAAGAACCGACGTTTGCTGAAGTCAACGATTATCTTGCCAAGTATATCCGCTCTTCGCTTGCCTATAATGGGAACCGCGAGATCGTATACTGATATAGATGATTCCGCCGCCCACAGGTTCCGTATCGCATGCCAAAATGCCATATTTCACTGCTTCGAGACCGGGACGGAGACCGCATCTCTGCGTGTGGAGGGCCGGTTATGGGAGATACATGTGAAGATCAACAACCGGTTTCGCAAGCTTTTACTTCGTGTATGTTTTTATCTCTCCCGCAAATGTCTTGTATTGTCAGACTTTCCGTCCAGCTGATATCCGCCATTTTTTGGACCAGTTCCGTGACGATAACGCGCAGAAAAAGAGACCCGTCGAAAGGCGAAAGTTGCAGAGCCACTACTTGAACTTTATCAAATCGAGCCAGCGTTTCTACCGTGGCTACATCCAACATCTCGTGTCGCGATTCGACCGTATACCGGAACTGGAGAAATTGGCCAAGGAACTTAAGTTTGAGAGTAAGATATATACTATACCATTGGAGAGACGCTGAAGACATTGCCAAATTGGCCCTCTCGCTAATTTCGTACAAACAGACATCTCTGTAGAGGAAAAACCTGAAATTCCGGACGATCTACGCAAGAGCGTCCTGCTTACATGCCATGCAACCCTTATCCGCCTTGGCGATCTTTCCCGCTATCGCGAAATGGAATTGGTTCCGCCAACGAAGAATCGAAACTGGAACCAGGCTATCAGGTATTATAAATTGGCCGATATGCTGAACCCAGACTCGGGAATGTCCCACAACCAGCTAGCGGTGATTGGGCTTGCGGATGGAAACCATCTGCAAGCAACTTATCATCTATACCGCGCTTTATCCGCCCAAGAGCCGTACCCGGGCTCGCACGGGAATCTGCAAATTGAGTTTAGGAAAGTGTTAGCAGTCCGGGCTAAGGGGGAGCCTATCGCAAGCGCAACTGATGAGAAAGCCTCTCTTATCTCTATGTTTGTTTACCTCCATGCCCAGTGCTACAAAGGGTTGGACTTTCCTGAGCACGATGAACTTGAAAATGAGATCCTTAGTCAAATGGCTATTGACCTCAAGGAGCTCTCCTTGCACCCGCATCTATTGCAGAAATTTTGTTTGATAAACATCGCTGCGGAAGAGTACGCAAATGCTAGGCGGACGAATGAGGGAAAAAGCGCAGGCGATGTAGAGCCCGCACGCGATGCACCGCTGTTTTTCCAGAGACTCAATGTGAAAACTTTCTTCACTCTGTTGCAAATCTTGCTTTCCGAGCTGGAATGCTCGGTTGCAGCAAACGAGTCTGAAAGAATAACGCCAGTTGCACAGTGCGTTTTGCCCGCCCTGCGACACTATAGCTCCTGGCTGCTCTCGAACAGTGGCTCTTTGGTCTATGAAGATAAGGATACTCTGTTATATGTGCAGATCAAAGAATTCTGGAAAATGTATGCGGGTACTTTAAGCCTGCTTACATCGAGTTTCGACGTGCCAAGTCTTTCTGATGTCGGGTATCTTCTTCAGGAAGACGAAGATACGCTAGGGTTTAGTCCCTTGGTTAATGATATAACCTGGCGAAGATACGTTGATGAGCGTGGCCATAAGAAACCCAGATCCGATCATATCACAGAGAAACTGCCCGCTCATATTGAAATGCTGTTTCGTGTTCGTGAATTTGTGATTGATGGTCTTGATTTGGTTGTTCAAGAGGTACTAAGTTTCCCTTTCTTTTTTCTTTTTTTCTTTTTTTCTTTTTTTTCCCGCCTTTCCTTATTTCTCCCTTCTTCCGTAACCTTTCTGCCTATCGCCAGAAATGTGGACTAAACTATTTCCTACAGAAAATTCCTATCATTCTCGCAGAGAATAAGGAGACAAAACTATTTGTCTGCAAGGAAGAAGGGCTCCCTCAATTCTCAAGCCCAAGCGGACATCAACACCGACACACCCTTTCCTCCACTAGCATAGAGCGCGAAGACATCCGTCCTCCTGAATCCAGTCAGGGGCCAATGGAATACGCCAACTCCCAATCGGCATCAGCATCTATCTCCCTCGCTATGAACCAGATGGTCGACAACCTCGTTGAATCAGAAACAACCGAAAACTGTCCCCCAATTGAAAAAACCCTCTCGTCCACTACAGCATGGCGCGACGCAAGCCTAAATAACGCCAATACCAATAATGGGGTTTCTCAACAAGACGGGGATGACGACCGCGCCGGTAACGGTAATTTTACCGGAACTGGAACGGGAACCTTCAATTCATACAGTCCCATCATCGAACCTGCAGCCCCGCAATCATATTCTCCCCGGCCCGCTCTACCAAGTATCCTTAACACTCCATTTGCGCCGCAACCAGGCGAAGCCCTATCGCCCGCTACCCGTCCTTCTACGGCCATCAGGCAAGGCGATCAGTATAACCCGATCCTCCGCGCGAATCATCATAACGGAGCGTTCTCCCCAGCCCAAGATTTCCCACAACAACAGCAGTACATCATGGGTTTCCAAAACAGCCTGCAACTCCCGTCCACGCCCAATGACTATTCATATGCAACAAGCAGCCTATCGCCAACACAGACACAAACCCCAGGTATCCCCTATAATCAAGGCGGGGCTGGTGGGTATGCCACCCGCCAACCACCACCGGGCCTTCCGTTCAATGGTTTTTTGAACACCGCTGCTCACCAGTACAACGAGCGGGGATTCAACCAGCCATCCGGTGTGTCTTATCAGTACTCATCGTACGATCCCATTTCGAGTGTGAATTCCAAAGCGTCGCATTTGGGCGCCGGCGTTATTGGCCAGACACCGCCTAGTGGGCAGGGGAGTGGCGGATGACCAGTTTTTTTCTCTTTGGGCAATGCCTTCTTTCGTGGCATATTCACTGGGATATATACACTTGTTTTGTAGGGAAGTGCAGGAGAAAGGGGGGCGGGGTTTGTTTTTAACCCCTTGACTTGGGAAACAATGTTGATGGGGGCCTACTTGTTCTTCCTAGATGGAGAAGGATCCAATAAGGCGTACTATGCTATGTCATGGATGTTTATTCGAGTTAGTAAAGGTAATCGGCGAAAACGGATAACTTCAAAGAGCGAATATTAGCATACCCCTCTGTTGCGAGCCCCTCGACATTGGCTATACCACTTTCTACCACCAGTGCGATGAGCTGCCTTCTCGCCCGGACAGGGTCGTTGCAAACCCCGACCGACTTCCCACACGATCTTCCTTCCCAAAAAGCCACCCGGCCAGCCTCAGTTCACGTCTCTCTCTAACTACGAGCCCCATGGCTTCCTTTAGCCACCAACAAGGGCACCACCATCCCTACTGCCATCACTAGCAGGCCCAGCGCTACCCGTCTCATTTCCTCTCAGCAATTTTACCCTCCTGAAAGTTTGCAATTGCGGAACGGAAAACCAGAATTCAAAACGGGGACCTCATTTCCTTCAACACTTGTCCGGACCAGGCTGCTTCAGAAAACTGCAACCTAGGCGCGATTGATACATATAACCACAACTAGCCAGCAACCTAGTCTACTCTAACCCCTAGGCAAGAATACCCCGCTCTCCTGGGTCCAATGTACGGTGCAGTCAAAATGCAAACGCTTGGTCACCACACGCACGGGCATCAGAGTAACACACAGCGCCACTCTCACACGCTCGTAAAGATGTGTGGTACATACGCCTGGCTTGAACATAAATTGCAGTTATGGGATTGTGGGCTACGATGGCCGTGGATGGAGTTTTTTGTCATTTCCTTAGATGGATAGCTAGCGGTTGCTGGCTGTCCGGATTCACGTTTCTTTTCTTTTCTTTTCTTTTCTTTTTATTTAATAAAGAAGAAACCTTTTATACTGTATCTATTGACTTGAATATATGTACGCCATGCGATGCTACGCTTGTGCTACGATTTATGCTATGCATGCATGCTATTGTTCTGCTCTGTGATTAATCTCCTTTTTTTTCTCTCTCTTTGAAATCATTGATAAGAACATATACATGTGTCTACGTGTGTATTCATTCACATGCGTTGGTCGTTTTTCATTACCAGTATTATTCCTTTCATTTATTTATTTTTTCAACCCCCCAACCTCCTCTAATCGTATTTTTTTTTCACCAGAACAATTTTTGTACAGAGATGTATCTTACCAGACTGAGTGGTAGCTTAATTAGATTGATTGGCTGGCTTTTGTTATTACTTACGCTATTCAGAATTGCACAAATTATTTTTTTTCCCTTTATTTTATTTATAGTTAAATAATTACCCTTCGCTCTCTTCATCCCATCAGCTCTACAGCCCAACCCCACCCCCGGGTAGAGATATACGTATTTCCTCCGCGTTAGATCGAGGTGTATCTAATACGATCTATTTAGAGCAAAGCTGTGCACCTATGGGAGTTTGCATTGAATAACGTATCCAGCAGGAAAGGAAGTAGGAAAAAATCAACACTTTATTATTTGCGGGAAAAAAGTACCATAACGCGTTGTTGAAAACGAGACAATTCTATCATTAAATCTTCTTACTTCCCTTTTTCTTTTCTTTTCTGAAAAGAAATTCTCTATCTGGCAGTTGAAATTTTGTTTTTCTTCTAACCATCTCATTTCCATGTTGGTGCTTTTTTTTTTTTTTTTCCCAGCCATAAAATCAAAAAGAGTGGGCGCAAAACAAAATAATTGAATGTTTTCATCGGAACCAAAAAGCAAAACACCGAAATGTAGACTCGTTGGGTGCAATGCGGAAATACGATAACAGGGACTGCCCAACGGAAAGTACCAGCGGGGTTGAATGTGCTGATATATGCTTATAATATTCTTTTTAAAAATTCCCATTTGAAAAAGGGTAAAGATAAGAAGAGAGGAGGGAGGAAGGGCGGAAATGGGGGGGACAGAATTTCTAGACGCAGGATGAAGGGTCTAGATCTAACTATTTATGAGTTAGAGGGGAGGGTCGCTATGCTCCATGCGGGTATCTGGGGTTGAGCCTGTGGATGTCTAATGGGCTGGGAATGAATAAGGAATGTGGTGGAGAGGGAAAAGGGGTTGCTGCGGAGGTCAAGAGGGTGTGGGGGGGTAGGAAGGCAACTCTATTTTCCCCTTTAGTTTACTGAGTCCGAAATTTTCTACGAGGGTTTGTAGGTTTGTTTGGGGAAGGGGTAGCTAGTAGGTGGGATGGATAGGTTAGTATCTCATTTGAAAGGGGGTTGTGAACGGGAGTAACCTCGTCCCGCGCGACTCGGGGTTGGGTGCCGCGGAACTTACGATGGGCCCAATTCCCTAATACTGAGTCCGGCGAGCCAATGGCCCATATCAACACTTTCTTCGATGCTCTTGCCCTCTACGACGCCAGCGCAGAAGCCACCGGCGAAGGCATCACTGTTTGTTCCAAGGTTAAGGGAAAAAATTAGTGTACTGCTCTCGTTTTGAACAAGGGATACTGGTGGCGTGGAGAGTTGGAATCTTACCCAGCACCGTTGGTGTCATTGATCTCATCCTTTGAGATGGCATGAACGGAGGTCAGCTTAACTTCAACATTTCCGTCAGCACTAGCAACAGCGGAGATGGTTGGGTCAGTCCCTTGCGTGATGATGACGATTCGGGGCCTGTTAGTGTTCTTCTTGGGCAGGGTAGCCATCTTCTTGGCGATTTCTTCGACGTCAGTGATTCCCCATCCATGAGATTCGGAGTAGGAGAGAGCTTCCGCCTCGTTGCCTAGGACGTAATCTGTGTACGGGAAGACGGAGTCGAGTTGGTCCTTGAAGAATTGAGGGATGAAGGGGGCTGAGAGGGAGAGCATGAAAGTCTATTATGGAAAACAAGAGGGGTTTTTGAATTAGCTAAACTGATATCGAGGTTGAAGATACAGGACGTTAAGTAAGGAGTACACACCTTGTTCTTCGTAGCAGCCTCCTCAGCCAATGCCAGGATTGCCGGCACACAGACGGTCAAATGGTAACCGCCAACATAGTACACCTTAGCCTTCTCCACCAGGGACCAGATATGTGGCTGCTTCAGGTGGTCCAACTTGTACTCGTTGGAAGCGGCAAGGTGGGTGCAAAGACTCCGCTCATGACCAGTGATGATGACACCGCAGCGGCCGGTGGGTTGAGTCACGTCAACACGATACTCGGTACGCAGGCCAGCCTTGTTGCAGGCTTCTTGGAGAATATCTGCGTATTTATCCTTGCCGACACAGCCGATATAAAGCACGGAGTTTGGTGGGAGAATGTACTGAATTGGAGAGCGAGTTAAGTTCCATAAGACTTCCCAATGCATTGAGGATCAATTGGCCGTTATTTCTGCACAAACATACCTGAGCGCCACGGGCAGTGTTCTGTGCAGCCCCTCCTGCAATCAACTTGGCACCACGGTTTTGGATGAGGTCCTCGAAGAGACCCATATGCTTCTCCTCTGCAAGAATGGCATCGTTGGGTTTCAGGCCATATTTCTCGAGCAAGGCGGCATCTCTGAACTATGGTTTTAACAAAGCGCAGACAAACAAACTGTAAAGGAAATATGTCAATTCCTATGGTTGCACATACCCGACTCCCTGAATATCTAGAAGGAGGGGCATGTTAGCAAGGAAACTCAGTAGGCGTTCGTGAAGGCAGCTTACCCAGCAGGGGATTCTCTAGGCAGAGAAGAGGATATCCTTCCGTAGCAGCCATTTTGTCTAATGAAAAGTATATCGATTGATATCCTTTGTGCGTGTGAAAGAAAAAATTGAGTTATCTGGTCGCCGTGGTTTGGTTGTGGTGGGGTTGCAGAGCGTAGTAAATATTGCAGGAAAAAGCAAATATTTAACGTCCAGTCTTGGATGGTCTTCATTCGGACCTCCAAACATCCCGAACACCTTCAACGCCTCCGCAATCAACACCGCAACACCACAAATATACACCACCAATCCATGCCCAAGAGCCCCCAGATCAACTGAAAAATGACAGACCCAGCCATCCAACTCGCCGAGACCATCCAAACCGCCTCCATAAACCCCCATCCCTCAGCAGCCCATGACATCAATCCGTCCACAACGACCTCGCAAAAGGAGCCGGTCACCATCAGAACCTACCATCATCGCTCTCCCTCATATGCCACCTCCATATCAACAGACATTGTCGACCCTAGCCGGTCAATACGGCCTCTACAGCGTGCCCCCTTGCCGCCTCTACCGGACCTGCGCTTCGAGCAGAGTTACCTAGCCAGCTTGAAGGGGGCGGAGACGTGGCAGAGGGTTGCGTGGATTACATTACGGGATCAGGTACGGATAATATAACTCTTGTTAATTTCTTCTTCTTTTTGTCCTTTTCGTCTATTTTCCACTGGGTCCAATATCTATTTTCCCCATGATCAGTCACTATTTGTTGTTTGCCTAGAATGACGACTTAACCAGCCTACTAATGTTGTCCCTGCCACGGAAAATAGGTCTTCCTCCCCCTACTACAAGGGACACTATGGACACTCGCCCTCACTGGCTGGCGATATTGGAATCGTGGAGCCCAATTCACCGGCCAGACGCTGGGGACCAGGATCCGCAGGTGGTGGTGGGAAGTCAACAACTGGAAGATACCGCAGTCATGAATGAGATAAAAAGTTATGAAAAATACATGTATATAAGAATTCCAACATTCCGATATTTGGGAGAGTATTTTTTATCATACCCAAGTAGCTGTGCAACCACGGGATTTTTTTCACACGCTGCCCCTGTACTCAGCGCGTCCGCCGGTCCAGTTGCGTTTAAGTTCGACCTTCGGGAGACTCTCTACCTTAAAAAAGGCGGCGCGGTGCGAGGCTTTGGGGGCCTGTGGCTATTGGTTTTCGCTACCTGCATATGAGAGCGTTAGGTGTTTAGAGTGCTCATGGGATATTTGAAAGGTTTCCTAACTGTTGGGAGGCATCGATCATTGAAGGTTGGCTTGCTGGCGCTACTTGTATGTATGTATATATATACATTTGGAAACTTGTTCGAAACAGAAAATGCCACGTAAATTTTCTTTGACATCAGTCCCAGGACAAAGTTCATCGGTTGCTCTCTGATATGGTGTCAAAAAAACTCTAGATGTGGTGGGTTTTTAGCGTAGGCACGTGTAAACAGAGAATTATGAGCTTGAGAGAGCTAGTACTGGCTCAAAAATCTATGATTAACATCCACCAAACCTCGCAAGAAAGAGATTGAAAAAATAACAATAAAACCCTCTGCTTAAATAAAACGAACCCTTGCGAAGTTTGCGAAAGGGTACGTTAATAGCTGAATGGAAAACTGGAACACCTTAACATACCAAAAGAGAGAGAAATAGAGGAAGAGAGAGAGATAGAAAAGAAAGAAACAGAAAAGGTGAAATAACCTGACAAAGCTAAATAAATCACAAATCCCCCTACCAGACGGTTAAGTCAAAGCAAAGAGTGAGAGGGATTGATTAAAGAAACAAATAAAACAGCACCAAGGTCCCCACGCCTATTCAATCAAAACATATACCCCATCGAATTTCCATTGTCGCTACACACGCGAAAAGAAGGAGAAACAAAACGGACAAACGAAGTAAACAGATTATTAAAATGTGAATCTTTGGTCGACGATGTTGCCGATTGGTTTTGCATAACAACCTATCCCGGATAAAAACCACACGAGGAAGATAACAAGTTATCGAACTTTTTCAGCTCTCTATATGAATTGAAAATAAAAAAAAAGAAAAGAGTAAGAGTACGGATTGATCAGAATCCTTAGTAGATCGTGGCGGGACAGGAAATGCCGTGGATTACTGTAGCCCGGGAAGAACTCCGTTCTGATCGGATGGTGGATGAAGTGTTTTTGGTTGCGGGATATTGGAATCCATAGGAAAGTTGAGGTTGTTTCACTGCGGGCATTATATTGGATACTTGATGAGTATCTTTCGAGCTAGTCACGGATGGCGGCGGCGGAGTGGTAGTGGCTGTAGTGGGAGGAGCTGTAGGCTCAGGAGAGATGATATGTTCTTTGTCCGAATTTACAGCAGTTGGTGGTGGTAGTGGTACCGCTGCTGGTACAGTGGATCATTTGGTGCAGATACAACCACTGCGAACGGATGCTGGCGATTTGGTTCGCTTGCTTCTGGCTTTACTGGTATAGGTTGTGGGCTTGCACCTGGAGCTTGGCCTGCAGTTGGGTTAGGAGGCGTGTTAGGAGCTGCGGTAGGACTGCTGCTTCCTAGCCCCCGCTTCGCTTTCCCATATCTCAGCTGGACCACCAAACTCCGCTGGCTAGTACCGTAGCCGTTCCCATCATTATCGCTAGGATCAGGGCTATATGACTCGGCGTCACTCATCTCCTCATCCTCATCTCCATACTCATTGTCCTCGCCGCCATCCCATTCATTCCCACTCGACGACGCAGCTTCCGATTCCTCGTCCATTTCATCAACTGCATTATACCCTTCAATATGTCTCCCCGCGCCATTCGACTGCCGACCCATCCTACTCCGATGCGGCCTTCTTCCGTTGGAAACAGGCTGTTCACTCTCGCCATCCCCTTCCTCGCCACCGCTAGGCCCAACAGACCGCGGCAGCAGCGGTGTTGATTCTTGCCGTTGACCACTTAGCAGGGACTGGCCGTACGCTCCGACAATCCGTGGTTTGACCTGCCGGCCGCTGGCGGTAAAGGTTGGGCCGGCGGGCATTTCACCTGGGGTTGAGAAGCGGGACTGGCGAGCTGATCTCCGGGTAGGGAGGGCGTCGGATGAGAAGTCATCATCGTCATCGGAATATGTGTATTTGAGCTTCTTGCCGCGAGTTCGGCCTTCGTAGAGAGAGAAGCCAGGTTCCGGACGAGCGAATGCGGCTTTCCGCGCCAGGCGATAGTCGCGACGCTTTCGTTTCTGGATAAATTTGATTATTACGAAGGCAGTTAGTTTGATCTTCATATACACCGTCGTGGGAATTGTTTATATTGCAGAAGAAACAAACAGATTGATATCGGTACGTACCTCCTCAGAGCCCTCGAATCTCGGAATGCTGGTAAAGATCTTCTCACTCAGCCGTTTAGAGTGCTGCGACTTCTCCTCAGCAAGAGAATCCGCAACGCTTCTCAGTTCAGGAATAGTCCCTGCAACGCTCCACCATGTCCTGTTCTTCAGCGCAGGGTTGCTTTCCCGGTACAGTCTGAAATGTGTATCATCCCTGCCCTCAATAAGCCAATACCGGCGTTTATAGGCATCATTCCCCCATGGTTGGACGGATAATGGCTGATTGAGATCGTCATCGTGTCTCGTTTGTTTATAGGATGCTTTCAGTTTGGCTTGGACGGCGTCGGAGGATGAGAGGGCCCAAAGTATCAATGCCTTGAGGAAGGCCAGCTTCACCAACAAAATATATAGTTTTAGTTTCAAGGCGCATTGCCCATAGGTGGGGTTGGGACATGGAGTCTTACTCGTTCAGTAGGGGTCATTGTCGCAAAGCTTCCCCCGCCATGAAGGGGGTTTTTACCGCCCCACGATCGTGGCCACTGTGATGAGTGCGTCTGCACAACCTCCTCGAGGGCGCGTTGGTAATGGTCCCTCCTATATTGCACAAGCCATTAGCCCATTAGCCCTAGACACGTTTATCCCCTGACAAAAAATAAAGGAAAAAAAAGGAAGTAATCCTTTGTCCTGCTCATAGAAAAGGGCACGTGTATGGCGTATTGGATGGGTGAAGACGAACTCAACATCTCTCTTCCTGTTAAGGCACAGGCCAATTAAAGCGCACAATAATCTCATAATATGATCTCCAGGGACAGTATCCGTGACTCCTCTCTCAATATCCTGTGGTCCGTAGTGTGGAAGTGATTTTGGAAAGACATCCGAGAATCTGGAGCGGAACATCACGATAAACTAAAAAAAAAAAAAAAAAATATGAAAACTATTAACAAACGCGTACTATTTTTCACAATTTTGATCGCCCGACAAAACACGCGTTAAATCTACGGATCAGGGCGCGATATGATCGCGTAAACTTCATATTACTTACTGCAATGTCTGGATTGTCTGCGAGAACATATTCATGAGGCGGCGAGGGGGCACGTTTTGGCGGCGGAGGAGAGGCTGGTTTGGCGGGCGTCTGGGGTTTGAAATACTTTCCCAGGCCCATACTGCGGTTGACGGAGGCGGCGATGGTTTCATCATCTGTGGACGGAGGAGAAGACAGCGAAGACGAGTCCGAGTCCGACATGATCCTTGGGTGCTGTGTAGAGGAGGATGGCAGGGCGGGGAGTGCGTGTGGTTGGTGGTGCTTGCGTGGTTGGGCGGAGGAGGTTAGGTAACTTGTAACTTATGGCCTTGCTTACTTGGGAGCAACTTAAACCTGGTGGCAGCGCGGCTATGACGCGGATCTCTCGTCTAAAGGCTTCATTGGGCCACGGAGGGGAGGAAGACTACATCAGCCCGCTGTGGCATGGAATTACTAGGGGCTATCGTCGTTGAACTAAAGCCCTTTTTTATCTTATTCATATTGTTTGTCAAAATTCAATTTCTATAGAACGAATAGATCTCAAGCTGGCCACCGTCATAGTTCACCCTGGATCACAAAGCTGCCTCACAAACACGGACCCACCAATAGAAGCCATTCCAATAGTCCCAAATAGCCATGCCTCTCCATCAGAAGGTTCTAAGGAGTATTTCACTCTCCAAATATGAGATTTTAGGGATGACACCGCCCTCTGCTGGTCAGTTGTCGGAAGCCTGGCAAAAACCACCTATGTTGAACAACAATGTAGCCCAACCAGCCAGTTTTCATGAAGGGTGGCGCTTAGCGTCTTTGAGTTCTCGTGTTCCAGTGTTCCACTGTTCCAGCGTTCGCATTCAAGCGCTCGCTAAAATGAGCATCGCTACAACGAGCAGAGTCCACAGAGATTGATATGCCCGACAACCCATGGGGACAACGTATCTATACTGGTATGTCGCGACCAGTTCTGGTGTGGGCTGTTTCCAAGCATGGCACAGCTTGTTCCCCGACGCCCAGCAGCAGACAGAAAGTGGTGGGGAACCCAAATAACACATCAACAGCGCACAAGTTGTAAAACAATCATCATTTCAAAACAGATGCGACAAAGCCACTCGCTCGTAGAGCGTGAACTGAAAGATCAGTCCCCTTGTCTGAAACAACAACCATTTGTGAGTTTAACTCAGCACTTGAGCAAACGCACCTAAAAAGTTGAGTAAGGTGGGAGGAAATCAAGTCCGCATCACGAATAAAAGTAACAATTAAAAAGAGCAAAAAAAAAAAATCAAAAAAATCAAAAAATCAAGGTGCATTCATTGTTCTTAGTGACCAAAGCCCCCATGTTTTGCCCCATCGAACAGGACGTGGAGGAGCATTCGACCAAGAACCACATTATTGCAGAGTCACGTAATACTGACAAGGAATCCGCCAGAATAACTGTTTGACGCCCAGACTTTGATAGATCTTATCGTGGGAGAGAGCAACCTTGCAACGGGCATCCATCCCCATCACCCAATTTCATGCATGGCGAGATTGGAAGAGATCCTGCTATCACCCCGAATGCCAATATCAATACCCAGCTCAGCGCCTGGTGGATTGATACTTCATCCGCAGCAGGTTGTCACCGTGGAAGAAGCCAGCTGCAGGTTTCTGTTGCGGATGTTCCAAGGTTGGTGGGGCTCGGCGCTAGAGTCAACTCGGTTAGCTTAGCGACGCGCACCCTAAGCCCACACAGAAAGCAAGACAGACGAAACCCAGCCAATTTCGACGAGAATCGATCTCACAACTGCCAACCCCATTCCGCAGCAGCCAACTTTGCGAAGCATCAGGTACGAGCCCGATCACCGTCCCCCATCGAGCAATTCAAATTATTGCAGGACCAAGCGGCAGCCTTTTGCTAACATTCTTTTCGTGCTTCTTGCCGACAACAGTTAGACGCCATGGGTCGTGTGATTCGCAATCAGAGGAAGGGCCGTGGATCGATTTTCAGTACGTTGCGGACAAGATAGATTTCATTTTTATCCTTGCGATCTCTCTACCCCCCAAATGTCCAGTTCTCCAAGATCCTCCTAGACGAAATAGAGCAAAAGAAGGAAAAAAGGAAGTGAGAGCCATAAAAAAATGTTTATGGAACGCGAAGAAACACAGTGGGAGATATGGACGAGAACGGGGGGAGGAGATGTGCAATCATAATTTTTGTGGTGATCGTAAAATCGTTGCTAATCGAAAAAACCACAGCGGCCAACACCCGTCTCAACAAGGCTCCTGCCCAGTTCCGTACCCTCGACTATGCTGAGAGACACGGATACACCCGCGGAGTGGTGAAGAAGATCATCCACGACGCAGGCAGAGGCGCTCCCCTGGCCCAAGTCTCCTTCCGCCACCCATACAAGTACAAGGACGTCGTCGAGACCTTCATCGCCAATGAGGGCATGTACACCGGCCAATTCATCTACGCCGGTAAAAACGCTGCCTTGACCGTCGGAAACATTCTGCCCCTTGGCTCCGTGCCCGAAGGTACCGTCGTGACCAACGTCGAGGAGAAAGTGGGCGACCGCGGTGCGTTGGGCCGCACGTCTGGAAACTACGTTACCGTCATCGGCCATAACCCCGAGGAAGGGAAGACTCGCATCAAGCTTCCCAGCGGTGCCAAGAAGGTTGTGAAGAGCCGCTCGCGAGGAATGGTTGGCATTGTTGCTGGAGGTGGTCGTACAGACAAGCCCCTGCTCAGTACGTTTTTTGTACCCCCTCCGCCAAACCGCGCAATTGAGACCGGTTTAAGGGATCATTCTTCCGTGACCTGGGAAAAATAACCTAGGAAAAATGATAAGTTTGGTTATGTATACTAACCACTCCGACCAACTCTACAGAGGCGTCCCGCGCCAAGCACAAGTTCTCCGTCAAGCGCAACTCGTGGCCCAAGACTCGTGGTGTTGCTATGAACCCAGTCGACCATGTAAGCAATATATTCCTCTTGTTACCTTTAGCGTATGACACCCGCCCAGCAGCATACTAATTTTTTACCTCCCCTCAACTAGCCTCACGGTGGTGGTAACCATCAACACATCGGTAAAGCCTCGACAATCTCGCGGTACGCGTCCGCAGGTCAAAAATCCGGTCTCATCGCTGCCCGGAGAACCGGTCTACTCCGCGGTACCCAGAAGACCAAGGATTAAGAAAAACAACACAAAAATCAAAAAGAAAAAAAATACACGAAATTCTTGCTTCTGGCTTCTGCGTTGTTGGGGGTTGTTTTTCTTCCTCTACCCTCCGTCTTCCTCCCTTCACCTCATCCTTCTCCTCCTCCTGATCCTCCTGTGTTTAAACCTCGGCGATCATCTGCATCTCTCTTTTTTATTACCTCCTCTATTTGTCTCTCTATGTTTCCTGCTTTGTTTTTCGCCCTTTCCGAAGAGCGCAAAAATTATGATGATGGGTTTGGTTGGTTGGTTGGTCGGGAGTGTGGTGTATTTAAACTTTTTAGAAAAATAATACTCACACGCCCTTCTCTCTTACTGTTTCTGGTTTTCAGCTCTTTTTGTTTTGTCTTTTTTTCTTTTTTTCCTCGAAAATGGCATGGCTATGTGATGTGTGTGGTAAATGATCATACCATGCACACTCACAGTTCGAGAAGAGCAGGCTCATGTGGGCCGAAGCCTGCTGGGGCTCCATTTTGAACAACGTCTGAAGTGAGCAAATAAATGGGACTAGAAAGGCAAAAGGAAGAGAAGGAAAAGAAATGGAATGGAGAGCAGATGTTACACCACTTATAAGTCAAAAGAAAAAGATAGGAAAATCTGGGACCCCAGAATCTCATTCATGATGATACCTCGTGTTTCTTCTGTGTTAGGGATGGTGATTGAATGTGGAATATATGTAGATGGACAGTGTAGTATTCACAACTGCACAGACAACGTATGACTTGTACAAGAATCTATCAGGATCAGGTCAACCGTCAACAGCTAACTCTCAACATTTGTCTCTCTCTCTTATCTACACAGTTTTGAGGGAAAGAAACCATTTTCTCCTTGGCGGAGGAAAAGAGCGGGAAAAAAAAAAATTCTCTCAGCAGAATTTAAACTTTTACTATATAAAAGCTAAGGGGTTGAACTAGAACAAACAATTCTACAGACTCCAGAGATCATTCAGACGCAAAACAAAACATCCCTTTCAAGGATTCTTTTCTGTCAGGAATGTTCATTTACTAATATAATATTGACTGAATGAGTAGATAGACATACAGAAAACAGAAAACATATCAACCTTTTTCATTTCACGCTTTAAAATAATCAAAATTTTCTTCACTCCAGTAGCTACTATTCACTCTTCTTACACTCATTGATCATATTTATATCAATTGCTCTGCTTTATTCAGCCTCTTCAACCTCTCTTCATGTCTTTCATCACATCACTTCATATATAGGCTTCTCTAATCTGTACAACCGTACTCACTTGGTATAAACATTATATTCTCCGTGATGGAATGGAATTTTTCATGTTGGGCCACGGTTGCTTGGGAGACAGAATATTGCTTTGGTAGATTATACGTAGTATTTCACCTGATGTCAGTTTTCCAAACAACTCTATTCCAACTCACCTCTTCTCCTACAATCTGCAGACGACTACGGCAGCGGTATGCATGCTATCATCCCCGAGGCACAATTGTCTCGCGTACGATCGATCCATCGGAGCAGCCCCGTAGCATGAGCCATATCTATGGGCAATGATATGACGAGCATATTATTGAGGAAGTTCCCCCCCCTCTCCCGCGGGCGGTGGGCTCACAGATCTAAATATCCATAGGGAAATTGTTATTTTATGGGTTTAAAAATTCTTAAAAAATTTAGCTAGTTAAACGACCTGCCACTGATGTCATCCGCCCACAAATAAGTTAATTTCTCTTCGCGCGCCACCACCAGCAGAGACCGACCGATGATGATGGACCCATTGGAGGGATCCATGAATCCAGACAATGGAAGCCATGAGAGTTTAGACTTATGATGATTTTACTATGGGTACTCCTATGATTATACAAGACGACGACGCTCTAGACAAATATCTACTGTACATTCAACAAGCCGTCAGAGTTCGCGGTGTTTAAACCAATCCAAAGCGCCAAACTGCTAGGCATTATGTCATCGCTCGTCTACCTACCTACCCCACCGAGGCCAAGCCCCCAAGCCTCGGCACAGTGCAGACACAAACAACCCACAAACCCACCACCAACACCAGCCCACCGCGACCCAAGGAACCCAAGCACCACCCACCAGGAGTCAAAATAGCCGGCCTTTCTTGGGGGCAGGCTATACTCAGGGTTTTGTATTCCTATGTGTCAACGCAAGCAAGCAGGCAGAGACACCGGTCTAGAACCCAAAAGAGCGCTGGACTACGTTTGTGTTTGTGTAAGGGGGAAACCAGCAGCCCTTGGAGCGCCGAGGCAGCGCTGATCACCTGACCCATGCCCTTTCGAGCCATTTAAACTATTTATTAGGCAAGGTGACGCTGGTGGGCTTGGCGGGGCTTGGCGGGCTTGGCCCACGTTGGGGCGGTGGTGGGGCTTACATAAGTCAGCAGCCAGCCAATCAGCGGCGGGCGGCGGGGGGGGGGGGGGGGCGAGAATCCTGCGGTCCCGTGATGAGCCCGTGAACTGGCGCTGATAGTTGCCAAGGGGCGTCGCAGGCGTTGCTACCAAACTGACCAATGGGCGGCGGGCAGTCACGGGGACAGGCCGGCCAGGCCAGGGGGGCGACGCGAGGGGGCGGGCAGCGTCGAGGAAGCGTCGAGGAAGCGGCGAGGGAGCGTTGAGTGAAGCGTCGAGGGCTGACGGCGTGGTGCCTGCCGTTTCTGCCCAGCCCTATTTATTAGGGCCTGGCCCCCCCCTTCAGAGCCCTCGTTTGCCCGAAAGAAGAAAGAGCGAGCCTTCATTTTATTTACTTGCATATCCATTTATATCCAGATCCAGCAAGATCAAGAACAAGTACAAGAACGGAAAGAGAAGCGAAGAAGAAGAAGACAGACAGACAGTAAACAGGACTCGGACTCAGTTTGCAGCCAGCGGCGATATTCTTCACGTAGCTCTTCTTGTATCCTACTACTACTACTACTACTACTACTACTACTACTACTGCTATTGCTATAACCTACTACTACTGCTACTGCTACTGCTACTGCTACTACTATAACCTACTACTATATCTGAATATATCTGAATACTTCATCCGAGCACACTCTATAAGCATAGCATAGAGAGAGAGAAAGAGAGAGAGAGAGAGAGAGAAACGTTATAGACTCACCCCATCCTATCCTATTATCCTACCACAACGACGTCCCCGAACTACCACCACCAACAACAACAACAACAACACAAAAGAAACCACCTAAAGGACCCCTCGCTTCAAGGCAAGCTCCCGCAGCTATCTTTGATGGCATTGAACACCGTTGAAATACCAAGTCATCCACTTACCACCTTCTCCTCCGCCTCCTCAATATCGCTCCGTCGTCCACCCTTATTACCCTTCCGCTTCCTGCTCTTGCCTGCCAAGTAACTATCGACCAGACCGTATCGTGTTCAGCCTGCTCCTGCTGCCTGTGGTATACATATATCTATCTATTATTTATATAGATATATAAGAAGAAGCCATCTTACGCGCGCTCTCTGGAGCTCTTCCAAGCCCTGGCATACGGTCTCTTTATATATATACCCCAGAATCGATATTGATATCAATATCAAAAACGACAACCATATCAACAGCAAATAAATATATCAACGACAACGCCTCTCAAAAGATGGCCGTCTCAACCACCTCCTCCTCCATCCGTTGGCGTGCAATCGTCAACCGTGACGCCACCGCCAACGACTTTGTCTATGGTGTGCGCACTACAAAAATCTACTGTCGCCCCCGTTGTCCTGCTAGGCTTGCCCGCCGCGCAAATGTCGAGTTCTACGACACCCCCAAGCAGGCTGAGAAGGCCGGCTACCGCCCTTGCAAGCGCTGCAAGCCAGAGGATCTTCGTGCCCCACCTGACCCGCATATCAAGCTCGCCCAGCGCGCCTGTCAGACCATGACACTGGCGGCGCTGCGGGCAGCGAGCGGTGCTAATACCGGCGAAGCGAGGACGAGGCCGACCCTGCAGGACCTGGCCAACGAGGCAGGGTTGACCCCGTCACATTTCCATCGCGTGTTTAAGAAGGTTGTGGGCATTACGCCAGGGAGGTTTGCAAGAGAAGTTATGGAGGGCAAGAAGATGACTGGGTATCTGAAGAGGTTGGAAGAAGGCATCAGTGCTAGTGGTGGTGGGTATGCCGGGTATGGTGGTGGCGCTGGCACCTGTGGTGCGGGAGCGGGAGTGGAAAAGGCCGATGCAGACGGAGAGGGTAGGTTATCGGTAGACTTTTCAAGTAAACCTGGTGGTGCTGCTGCCAATGGATTGGGTCTGGATGGGGTAGACGGCGTATTCTCCCCCACCGTCACTACGGATTCGCAGAATTATACTGCCCTCCCTCACGCTGGATCCATGCGCATTGATTGGAATGAATTCGATAGGATGTTGGGTGGCACTGGTGGTGGCGATGCTAGGCGTAATAGCAACAACAACCACAGTAATAGTCATCAACATCATTCCCATGCGCTTCCACATAATCATAATAGTGGCTTTTCCATAGCAGACCAAAAACAGCAGCAGCCGCAGTCCCCCCCGCAGACACAGGCGCATACACAGGCGCAAACACAGCCAAATACACAGGCACAGACATCCACTGCCACGACAACAGCACCGCTCCACCCACACATCCTCGACCCATCCTCCACAAACACCGCCGGTCTCCTCCTCGACCACTATGAACTCCCCTGGGAATCCCCAGACTGCACCCTGAACTTCTCCTCCTCTCCCCCTCGCCACGTCTCAACTGCTGGATATAGCAGTGGCTCCCTCTCCCCCTACGACTATGACCCGCTCATAGACACAAACGCAAACACAGACTTCTACAGCAAATTCTTCGACCACAACAACACTACCACTACCACAACCCTCAACTCAAACTGCAACATAAACTGCAACACCAACTGCAGTAACATCACCTGCACCAACACCACCACCACCACCAACAAACAGCAGCAACAGCAACAAGAACCGTTCCGCCAGCTCGACCTCTCCGAAGATTCTGCCTCACTAACACCTGTCGACACACCCCCCTTCCTCGTCGACTCACTGCACACGACAGGCTTCTCATCCGGAGCCTCATCGGCATCGTCGGCGCATGCGTCGCCACTGTTGCTGTTTGAAGATGTGGATTGGTATGGGAGCCCGAGCATCTTCCAAACATATGCTTAATTAATTGCTGTTTTTTTTTCCCTACCTCTTGCTTGCAATGAAATTTGGGATTTGGGATTGGGTTTCGGCTAGGTCAACGTAGGTGTTCCGGTGCAAAAGGAAACCAAAGAAAGCAACCAAAAAAATGACAAATGAGATGCGAAAATCATGACAAAAGGGAAAAAGTGGGATATGGGTAGTTACGATGGGTGTTTTATCATATTATCATTTCGTGGAAGTTCTGGGGTCTGCTATTTCCTTCTCGCATTTATCTTTGTTCATATCTTTTAACTTTCTGTAGAGATTAATAATGTTTTTCTTCTCTTGTTTTCTCTTCTCCTTTTTCTTTTCACTCTTTCCCCCTTTTTAACATCATTGATTATGTTTTTATCATTCTCATAATGTATATATAATAACAGCTCCTGACAGAATTGGAGATTGACAAGAGAAGAACAGGAAAGGAAAGGAAAAGAGAATGAGTGAAAAGAAGAAAGAAAAAAAGAAAGGAAAATGATGATGAAAAGAGAAGTAAGAGTGATAAATTTACTAAAGCTTGAATTGTGAAACTTGAAGTGTCTAGAGAAGAATATATATATATTCTTATATTTTTAAGAGCAAAGAAAAGAGATGAAATAAAAATATGAAATTGAAAGAAATAACATGATATGAAATAATGAAAATGATGATTGAATTGATATAATATATTCTTCAATATTGTAATTATTTTTTAAATAAAAATAACACTCTTTTATTATATAAGTCTGTTTCTCTTTAAAGATAAAAATAATATCAGTGAAATATAGAGAAACTGATTATTTATATTTTAAAAAATAGAAGATTTTATAAGTAATTACATTAATATAAAATTAATTCTTAATTTTAATAGTAATTTAATATTACTGTTCTTAATTCCTTGCAGAATCTATTAAATATTAAGATATTAAAACTATATATTTAATATATTTTGATTAAAGACTCAGTTAAATCTTGAATTGAATTTAATTTTGTAATTATTCACAGATTATATACTGACTAATATTATCAAGATACTTTTTTTTATATTTTTCTAATGTTTTGAAACATTAAAAACAGACAGGATTTTCACAGCTTCAGATATTCTTCACAATCAGAGGTTGAGAATTTTTCAAAATCAAGAAAATTGATGCATAGAAATTCTAGGGCTAGGTCTCTCCACCTTCCAATTTGTATGGCAATTTGACCCGGGGTTGTGGCGTGGTAGGGTAGGGGTGGATGGGATGGGGGAAAACCTCACATGGGGGCTTTGAACCATGTTTGGTTGAATCACTTCACCACCACACGGGGTATGAGGTCGGTGTTAGGGTTGAAATGCTTGAATGATCGAGCACTATCAGCGGTTTATTATTCGAAAAATTGAGCGAGTTCGTGGTGGAGCGGTTTGAAAAAAATTCGCATATTCTGTATCTGAAATTGCTAAATGTATAGTTAATAATTGACTGTATAAGTACTAGAAAAACCCTGAGATCTGAGTCTCAGGTAGATGTCATAGTCTCTGACTGCATACATCTATAATTGATTTCTTATTAGAGTTAGTGTCTGCAGTAGTTACTCTTCTTTCAATCTCATTTTTCAATCCTTATCTCATTTTCATTCTCTGTGACCGCCCGCCTCTTTCTGAACAGAGAGACTGTGATTGTTCACTCTTGCTACTTTTCAGAGCTTCTGTTTCTTTCTTCTTTCACTTTTTTCTTCTTCTACTTCTTCTTTCTTTCACTTTCTTCCTTCTTCTACTTCATTCTTATTCCTCTATTCAGAAGTACATTCATTCATGCTACTTCTCAGAGCTTCTGCTTCTTTCTGTAAAGTTAACTATGATAAACAGACAAGCATGTACACACACATATATATATATATAGAGGCGCCCGCCCATCCTCATCTTAGAAGAATGAGACGAGATTTACCATTTTACAAGTACTATACAACGCTACAATTGACATACGCTGCAGTGATAGTCTAATCTATATACTAGCACAGATTATAACACTCATCACTAAGAATCTCTCTCATGATATAATCATCAAGATCTGATTCATTTGAGTTAGCTTATTTCCTATTTAAGATTAGCTTCAAATAACTAGTGAGTGACTAATCATTGATTTAAAAAAAGCAATAATATTCTAAACAGTGGCTAATATTCTGAGATAAAGCAAGATCTAACTTCTGTTTCTGAATAGTCTCTTATATATTTTTAAAACTTAAATTAGTTATGTTTATTTATAAACTAACTCATTTATCTAGATGGTGAATTTGAGGTATGCTAAAAATATGTGTGATAAATAACTTACTGATTAAAAGAGTATAAAAAAAAGAGTACACAAACAGCACGGGAAATATATAGTTAGAAAAAAAAAAGGTAGTTGAAAACAATATAATAAAAAACATAATAAAAGTAAGCACTTTGCACTGCTGGGAACATAAGGAACTTGTTGAAACTGTTCCAAAACTGAGAAGCAAAAAACAATGAAGCAAACAATATCCAACACACAAGTAACAGGCCATTGCAGAGGCACCTCAACGATACTCGTAAACAAGGATAGAAGCCAAAGGTAGACAAGGGATGGTGGGTGAGGTATCTGGTATAAAAAGCATTTGAAAAATGGAATACAGAGCACAGCATAGAGGGATGGTGTTTCGCGCGCGCGGAGGGGGTGATAATGGATGACAGGAATGAACACCAACTGAAAGGAATCAGGAACGTTGAAAACACCAAACCAAAATTAAAGGAAAAGGAAAAGGAAAAATAAAAATAAGAAAGAATTACAAGAAAATAAAAGGCAAACAATACCCCCCTTCTACCAGGCTTCTCTGAAAAATGAAAAAAAAAAACCGCCTGGGTCTGCCCTGACCGTCTTCCTGTTGTATATATAATAATAAAATGAAACAAATGAACTCATTCCCCCTGTATATATGGAAGGTATAGTTTATCTTTCGTCGTCATTGCTGTTAATCACATCCTAGAGCAGGTGAAACTGCCCGCGGAAGTGGTATCTTCATTGATGGCTCTTCCGGAGACGTAGAGGCCGAGTCCGCACTGTGGGGTTTTTTCGGTTTGGTTAGATCTTGTTCTCTTTTCCTTTCTGTGTCTTCCTGTTTTCCTTTGTTGTCTTCTTTTTTTCTTTGTTTTGATTGAAATAATGATGGCTATGTCGGGTGAGTGTATCAGGTTGGGTTTGGGAATATACATAGGAGTAGAAGGAAAAAAAAGAAAAAGGGAAAAAGGCGGGGGGGGTTTGGGGAGTTCATAGTAAGCAGGCAAAGTCATGGGGTGAATGAACGTACAATTAGGGCGCCGCTGGCGACGCAGAAGACGTTGAGTAGGGTGAGAACGATCTTGCGTGGGCTGGAGAAGTAGCGGCCTTTATTCAGGTAGAGCCAGAACCAACCGTTTAGGCCGACTGTTTTGGTTTGCAGTTTTTGTTAGTCTCTGTTTTCATAGGGGGTTGGAAAAGAAGGACGAAAAAAAAGGAGGGTGGGTATATGCAGGGTTGCTTACAAGTGAACCAACTTGCGAAGAGGGCAGTCTATACCGAGTTAAGAAAATTTGGTTCGTTAGTCTTTTCCGCATCATATAATTTTGTCATTCCCATTTCCTGCCTTAAAGGGGGGAAAGAAAACACGTACGATCAAACTAAGAAGATGGTTAAAGACGGGGATAGCTTCCGCGATGATCCAGGCGATGACCCATAGTAAAGTGGCCAGGCCAACCCATGCGCCAATTGAAGTCCAGCTTCGTCGGGACATGTGATCTGTTCCGCGGAAGATGCGGACGTATAGGTATTTGCAGGCGACGTGTCCGTTGATGACGCCGGCAATAACGATCTAAACGGTGCTGTTAGTTGTTGGTGCCTTGGTTTGAAGGGCGGACATATATATTTGGGGGTATGGAATCAAACGTACAGTAGGGCATGCAACGCCGTATGCGATCTTGCTAATGAGAGGTCCAGTTGAGCTCAAGGCTGGTGATGCTACTTCTCTTCCAGCAAAGTAGTAGATGACGACGCCAGCGATCGTGTAAAAGGTAGTGTTGGTTCCCTGGAGGGTGAAGAGGGCTTTGGAATAATCGCTAGGATTTTTGAGTTCAGATGCAAATCCGAAAAATGCAACGTGACCGGCTGTACATACATTATGGGAGGGAGTTATGATTAGTATTGAAGACAGATTTGATATATACAAGGGATAGGAGAAAAAGACACTAACAATAGGAGAAGATGATATTGCTGACTGCCAAGAAGGCGTGGTAAATATCTGTCGTGACAAATGCATCAATGCCGTCGCCGGGTTTTTGCACCCCGACTGCTATCATTGTAATCATGACAGCACTGAATATGCTAGCGAATGCTACAGTTGAGATATAATTAGTCAATGATTGGGTCCATATAATGTTCATTGAAAATAATTCAAGGTTCATAAAGGAGGCGGGGGTGAATATTGGGATATGAGGGAACTCACAAATAATAGAGAGCCAAGAAACATTCTTCAGTGTTCGTGGAAGGGTAAGGATTAGTGAAACCAGCATTCCCACAAGGCCAAAAACAATACTGCACGTTCCGTTATCCGTAAGCGTGTTCATCATGACGACAAACGTAAGGACGTGGCTGCCCATGATGAATATTAGGAAGAGGAGCTGCCCAACGCCGAGCAACTCGCGGCCAAATCTACCCATGAGAATCTCTCCGGCGTCGGCCATGCTATGGACGTGCGGGTATGCAGCTTTGAATTGGCCGATGGTGTAGCCGGTGTAGGTTGCCAGAAAGCCAATAAAGAGGAGAATTATAATGGCTCTGAAAGGAGGACGTAATTGTTAGTTGTATTGGAGATACATAATATAAATTCCGTTGGGCGGGCGAGCTTTGACTCACGGTACTAATCCCAACGCTGCGACTGCTGATGGAAGAGCAAGAATACCCAGAGACATAGTCTCCGCGATCATGACTGTAGTAATTGTTAGTGTCTGTTTCTATGCGCCTGATGAACAGGACTAATAGCGGCATGGGTTCCATACGTAGTCCACATTGCCTAAAAGCGAACAAGCATGAATCGTCAGCAATTGTCATTACATTTTCCTTCTTTCCTTCCAACGGATTTTTTTCCCCTTTCTCTTCATTCTTGATGAAATAACTCACCACCACGTCAACACTTTATATTTAACCTCAGCAGAGTCCTCATTCCCGAAGGGATCCACGCATTGAGTCACGACATCCTTCTCGTATGGCGGGAGCGAAGTTGAGCTGCCGCCATCGATCTTCTCTATGTCCCCTATTTTCCCAGGGATCTGCCGTTCACTGAGACCAGACTGGATTTGTACCTCCTCTCCATCCAGCATAACTGCCATCCTTCTTTTGAACCTGCCCCCCTTGGCGGAAAATCCGGACGTTCAAGGTTATCAACTTCTCAATTGTCGACGTCCGAACGAGCTGTTAAAACAACAAGCCTGCAGAGGCTTTCCCTGTATGGTGTGGGGTATTGTGAGTAATAAAAGGGTGCGGGAGTAGGAGAACGGCTAAATGACGAAAGACAATATTAAAAAAAATATGGAATTGAAATAAAGAAGAGAACCAGGAATACATAAGGAGAGAAACAGGGTTTTGAACGGATTCTCCGTTTCCACTTCTGGTCTTGGGAACCCGCCTTCTCCTTGCGCCGGGAAACCACCTCTAAATAATGCTAAATAGAATTCGGAGCCGAGTGAAAGTGGAAATCGGGGCGCCTTTTTTTTGGCCTTATCTCCATATTTTCTTTCTCCCCAACCCAGGGGCCTTATCAACTATCCTTATTATGCCCTAAACAGGAGCCTGGTGCCTGAAGGCGCTACATTTTTGTTGAGTCGGAAAGGCACGCCCGCCGCCTCTGAGTCTGTATACAGTTGTTTAGTTAATATCTCTAAATAAAGTTGTAGGGAGTGGCGACATCACCTGCCGTTGCTTTCTATAATAGTAGTTTGTAATCTCGATCAGATGTACCCTTCTCCGGGATTGCGGATCACCACATCTTCTATCTCTTCCCCCCTCCTCTCTCCCCGGCATGCCGCACACTCGTTACTAATAATAATGTATCATATTGCTGTCCATAAAGGTGTGGGTACGGACTTCCCCAGTCCCGGCCGTTGAGTTTATGGCATGAGCATAAATAAAGGCCATATTATATAGCCTTTCCCTCCGTCCAGGGAAGCCCTGAAAGTAACAACAGCGTCCCAGGGTTGCATAACAACAATAATAACATTCCTAGATTTCTCTGTAAACTTTTTTTCTTCACGGCGGTCGTCTTGGTGGTGCGGATCGGCGCTAGAACGCTTGAGACAATTAAGCTTTCTTCGGAATGCTTGGCACCAGCGGCCGCCAAGCCCGCCAAGCAGTGAACAATTCCCGCCGACTTCCGGCTTCTTCTCCGGGAAACATAATGAATATTTTCGGTATTGAGGCTTAGGAGCCAAGCGGTTTCTGGTATGGCTATTCTCCGAGGTGAGTGGTTGTGGTTTGTTCTTCAGTCGGGAGATGAGGCTTGGCTGACACTTTGCCAAGGCGCAGCGGCCAAATCGCGATGGGATTCAGCACTCTAAGACCCGTTACCGTATTTGCAGACGTACAAAGTTATGAATGAACTGTTCCCTAATCTGGGTTCGGTGTGCAAATAGTATCACAGTAACTCTTTTCTACGCTTTTCATCCATCTGGGTTCGGTGTGCAAATAGTATCACAGTAACTCTTTTCTACGCTTTTCATCCATCTGGGTTTGGTGTGCAAATAGTATCACAGTAACTCTTTTCTACGCTTTTCATCCATCTGTGTCCCTCCACCGCCGGACTCTGAGACGCCAAGTTCAAGCCTCTCGTTATTTAGCCCCCTTTTGAAATCTCTGAGCTTCTCATCCGCGGCAAACTCAACACTTGCTCATTTTCAAATCAATGCTGCTGATTATCGATATATCCCTACAGAACACACCTGGGCACTCTCTCGTAGATGCCTCTCTTGGTATAGAACATCCATCCATGGATAGACTTCCAAGGGTGCACGGGTTCAACATGGCCCACTGCGACCCGCCTTGAGTTTGTTTCATGCCGCCACCCAACCAGGCGTTTGCCATATAAAAAGAAAAAGTTTGAACGCTTAGATAGCCGAGCCTTTGACTTGCAAGGTACCCATTACCCCATACTAGACTAGACGATGGAAAGGGGACAGCGGTCTGTCTGGGCGGTAAGCGATGAACCGTTCCATAAACCAGTACCTATCTCCTATCTCTGTGCTCGTCGATATAATTCACGGCTCTGTTTTAACTACTACATCATTTTCCAGTAGTCTTGTGCTGCAAAGTAAGGATGGTGATACCCGCCTCTTTTTTTTTTTTTTTTTCTTTTTTAAATCTTTTAAGTCAGAAAATGAATATTATATTGTTTTTCTTTTAGAAGAATATATGAATTGAGATGCTGACAGCACATGTCCTTTCGCCACATACTCTCTATCATTAATAGAAACATAAGTTGTGCTGAGCATATTCAAGGATCCATACTGATCACAATGCAGGGGGAAAAAAAAAAGAAGAAGATTCTATCTTCGACAGAATTGAGAATTTATTGGTTCGGTCTAGTTCGGGGCTCAGATTCTAGCCTCTGCTAGCAAAATGCTTTGTGGTGGGTGAGGTTGAGGTGGTGATTGATAAGTTATTAGTAAGCGGAATCTGAAGTGGGGTTTGTATGGCGATCTTGCTGACACCACTATCATATAATAATAAGATTCTTCCACTATCCGGTTTGTGTGGGGTTAAGATCTCTGAGATCTAACCAAGTTAGGTTAGATTTTCTTAGTTCCCGAACTGAATCAAACCGAACTATTCTATCAGGGCCCACAACCGAACTGGCCCGATAACTTTGCTCTTCTGAACCGCCCTTATTATTATATTATTATATCATTATCAACTAACTATACATAGTAGTTTTCCATATCTCCGAACAAACCCCGAGCACTTCCCTCATCATACACGTACCTATCCCTCGGGAAGCCCGGTGGAGATTCCCTTTAGCTTAGAATGCCCTTTGGTAACTAGTGACAGACAGAGAGGGGTGGGGAACCTATGTCATTTTGAGACGGAAAGAAGAAAAAAGGAGGAAAGAATGTTAGTATCCTCTTCTCTAGTGTTTCCTTATATATGCTGGATATCTTTCCCCTGCTGCCAGTTTTCAATCTTTAGGAGGAGCAGAATAAGTGCTCATTTCAGACCAAAAGACGCCTTTTTCAGAGGGAGTTTTCAGGTCATATAACAGGAGACTTGACATCAAAAAGGACGCCACCCGTCACCAGATATCAAAATATTACGAAATGGACGAGACGAGACGAGGAGTGGGGGTTTTTGTTAACCACGACCACGCCTGATGATTGATCATTTCCTCCTGTGGAAATCAACAGAGCATGCATGCATGGATTTCTTTTGTCTTCTTTCTTCTCTTCTCTGGTACATCACGCTTCTCCTCCCCCACAGATACGTTTTACCCCACAAAAACATGGAACTACGTGGAGGCCGGTGGAGTCGTCGGCAAGTAAATTTCCCTACTTGCTACGAATTGCTTGCCACTAGTTAGGTTCAATTGACATAGATGGAGTATAACGGTTCGCCTGTGTCCGGTGTCAGGCGCTAAGCGAGGATTTTCATTAACTTGCTAAAGAAAGAAAGAATGAATGAATGGGGAAATCGGAGATGACAGTTACTATATGCTAAATGAATATAGGCTATGTTGGAGCCGAAAATGAAAGAAATAAGAGAGCGAATTTATACCTATTAGAAAAAAAATAATTAAAGTGTGCAAGCTTGACAAGTAAACTTGGGGAGAAAATTTAATGAAACAAAAAAGCACGTCGACCAGGGCTTCAGCACCCAAGACTCCAAAATCTCATTAGTTAACATCACAAGAGGTTGATGGTGAAGGTAATGTAACACCACACCACCCTAGGAGCTATGTCAACATTCACCAATCTCCAAACAATGAGGTATAAGAATATACCTGAGGTATCATTATCCCATGAAACGTTACTGCAAATAACAGGCAAGTGTCCATCGGCAACCCAGCACCACTTCCCCCGGCGTTAAGCAAAATATCAAACCCCCCCCTTCTTTCCGCTAACGCAAGTGATCGTTTTCGTCATCATTGCATCATCATGATCAAACCAGCAAGCACGACGATAATCAAAATAGAATCGTGCTCCCCCTTTCTTTTCGATTTAACCTAGGACGTCGGCCGCTGTCCGTATACGAAGTGGAAAACCGTCAAGAGATGGTTTTTGGGGTCACGGAATTCCTTTCGCACCGCATCGCACAGGACTTTGGTTTCGTCTATGTTCCAGCCGAGGATGCGGGTGAAAAGGGCCAGGGTGAATGATTCGATGCAGCTGCACATGTGTTCCATTTGGAATGCGCCCACCTCCTTGAGTTTGGGGTCTTTGGGCCATGTCCCCATTGGGACCTGCGGGGACGATACTTGTTAGTATCTATATTCTGTAGGGAAGGGGGTTATGTAGAATGAAGAAGAAGAAGAAGAGGGGAAAGTCTAAGAAAGAAAGAAAAACAAAAATCGCTCAATCAGGATGAAGAGACATACCTTGTATATATCATCCTGGACATTCTTGAAGCCAGCGTTGATCAGATTCTGCTTCTGCTCACCAGCAACATTCAGGCGTTTCCCAAATTTTATACTCGCTTCATCTAGTAGGGCTAGCCAGCGGGATGTATTGGGGCACTTCTTAAGCGTCGGGTCGTCGTCGGAGTGAACCCACGCTTCATATTCTTGCATTTCAATCCACCCTCCAGGCTTCAGGTGCTGGAGTGCGCGGCTGTACAATGTGTTCCAATCCTTAATGCTCCCGCCCATCCCCCGCGCATGGATAAAATCGAATGCCTCATCTGACGTATACACCCATTCACTCTCAACATCATCGACATAAAACTTGCAATTGGGAGGCACCCAGGAAGGTTGAATGGGGCTCAAGTCGTTCCCGATCACGGTGGCAGTGTGGAATTCATCAGCAAAATCAATAGCCCATGCACCTGTTGCTGTCCCGAAGTCTAGCACTCTCTTCGGCTTCGCGGTAATGGGCGCTCGGAAGAGCCGACCGCCTAGTATAAGGCGAAAGATGTGGTGGTGTAATTCGAGCCGCTCCTGCTCCGCTTCGTCATTTGGTAACATATACGATCCGTTCCTGAATCCGTGGTATCTCCTTCCATTTTCTATAACGTGGCAAGAAAAGGGCATAACAGCATTAGCACGAAATGCTGACCCGACCGGAAGCGCAGAATTTTGTTGGGATGACGCTCACCATATCTATATTCTAGGATTGAGGAGGAGAGCGAGGTTCCAAGGGAGGAACCGCCAACAGTCGCGCTGATTGAGGCGCAATCTGCGAATTCTGTCTGTTTCGGTTGTTAGTTCTATAGACCTTTGAAAGAAGAGTATTGAGGAAAGGTCGCCAGGGAGTCACTACATCGATATCGATAATCCCGGGGTTTGGTGCAGAGGGCTGCACAATTGTCTCAGTTTGGTGTGTCATTTTTATTTACTTCTCGAGGAGCAAAGGGAGCAAAAAGCAAAAAGAAAAATCAAATCGAGAGAAGTAATGATCAAATAATACCTGTGTTACCAGGAAATCGTCAAAAGATGTTTGTTTTTGGGGCTTCCACGAGCTCGGGAACACCGATATATATGAATGAACCCAGTACACACGAGGGGGAGCCTGGCCTCCCCATCCTCGTCTTTTGGCAGTCCTCGCTTGAACATAACCAGACTGCTTTAGCTGCTGTGTCTAGACTAAGGAATCAGCTCGATTATCCCGTCCGCTTACTGCATAAGTCTTAGTGTGCAGACTTTCAACTGCTAACGTCGCGGAGATCGGAAACGCCATCCAGCGCGAGTGACCGGCCTGCTGTCCCGGACGGGTGAGAGGGTGCAACCTATCTTTACTCGGCGTAGTGTCTTGCCCGACCTCTGCCGGACCTCACATTAACTTTCTGACGAGACACTCACTCCACAGATGTTCGGTATGGTAAGATTTGCGACCAATTCAACACCGAAGGACTGACTGAACCTGCTCAAAGGCCTGAGCACCGCGAATTTTAGTTTGGCATATCAGACTCAAATAATGAACGGTTGACTAGATTATGAGATGTCAATGTTCTCTTTCAGTAGCTCCTTGACCCTATAAATACCGTTCATAGTCGGTTTCTTTTGGATAGCGTACGAAGTCAAAAGCTCAGCAAAAATAATCGCCACAAATCCCACAGTCAACTCAACACTCCAGACATGAGAGTTCAGGCTAACAGAGATGGCGCATAGAATTGGCGTCTTGAGATTCCTTCTCGACGAAGCTAAAAAGCAGCGGGAGGGGGGACGGACGGCAACAAAGTGGAGTACCTAGGAAAAGAGCCACAACAAGGCCATCTCGCCAGCAGCGTTTGCGAAAGTTGTTTTGGTCTTCCGCAAGTCTCAAACTCAAACGGCTGTCCCCAACCTCGAAGCATCTTTGGCTCAGCTCGTTCGTTGCTTTCTAGCACTGAGCAGCTCCACTGAGCAGCTCCACAGAGCAGTTATCAGCGCCATCGCTCGTATAACCGCCTGCATAGCTGCACACAGGCCCCTTTCTGCATCAGTCTGAGGAACCAATAATAGCCCCCCACGCAAGGCCAAACCCCGCCCATGATATGTCTCCGGCGCTACTGCTGCATCCGAGGTGAGCGTTAGAGGTTGCATCCATCGCCAACCCGCAGGGAAACGTGGCTGACCTGGAATAACATTGGCATCTTGCTCTGACTTCCGAGGAGCCGTAGACCTATTTGGTGCGTTTTGTCGGGGGATCCTAGGATGAGAGATATTGTCGGATTGGGTGTCACGGATGAATATGTTGAAGACATATGAATCTTATCTGTATCAAGATCTGCTTGTTCTATTATCCGTACACTATCTAATATATCTATTTCATACAAAAGATGGAGCTATTTATAGTAAAATATATGTGCGAGCCAAGAGAGCTAGCATAAGCGAGTATTAGACGAGCGTTGTAGTAAGCTGATGATGATGAGAAATATTGTAGTAATACGATGTTGGTGGCGTTCAGTAATACGATGTTGGTGGCGTTCAGTAGTGTATAACCTCTTTTTCCTGACAGATATTCAAGCATTTCCTGTGCATTTCATTTCTTTTTGATGCACTCCGTATGATAAACGTCTCCTTCGTGTCCTTGCGTGCAAAAAATTCAGACGCTGGTCAATTCAGCCAACCGTTGCTGAAGAGTTCATGACTGGCTGCTCGGAATCTGCGAGGAGGAGAAGAGGAACCAACAATATCAAGCCTATGATCGCATGCCCATGCATATCTGTATCTACATGTACGGCTTTGAAGAGGTGAAAGAGCCTCAAAGGGTTGCTTATGTCACAGATCGTAATTAACTTAACTAGTTAACGAAGTTATTAGTTACTATTCCCTTCCCCCAGCCTGGGGATCTCCTTTGGGTGTCTATGAAGAAAAACTTCCAAAAAGTAAATTAATTAATTAATTAATTAATTCTTGCATTCTGGCAGCCATCCCAGCAAATCATCTTCAAACCTGGCAGTTTCCCCCACCTAAACCTCCAGTCTGCAACCTAACCCGATTGATGTTTCTTTTAGTTCTCAAACATCCAATAACAAGCCCTTTCGTACGCCGCAACCAAGAAGGCAAAACGTTAGGGGAAACTTCTTTCATTCTATCTATCCAGATTCCATGGAACTGGTTTTTCGGCGGTTGTCCTAATTCCATGACGATTGGCCACATTCAATTGAGCCTTGCAATGTCTCTTTGAGATGGTTAGTGCGGACTTTCTTACGATTGCCACCCTTTGTAACAAAGAAAAAGAGATATGGAAAGAGAATACAATTCCTTGCTCTAGTATATATACCATACATGCTTGGTAGCCAGATATATTCTTTTGACTGACTCAAATTTCTATGTGTTCTCATCCAATGGAGCATTTACAGACTATGGATTGTTCAAGTTTGTAGCCCGGATTCGTGATGATATCTTTTGCGAACCATCAATCAGAACTGAAAAATGCTTTTCTACCTAGGACCTCATTTCTACGCCTTATGGAGGAAATAAACTATAGTGGCCCAAAAAACCCTCATCTGAGCTCGGGAGAAATGCACTGGGCCCTGTGACATCATCGTTGGGACCATTTATTCGAGAGCAATAGTCAATGGCGCCCCACTAGAGGAATAATAGGGCTACAATAATAATGCCCCTTGTGTTGTGGCGCGTGTAAATCAATCAATTCCTCTCCGTTCATCGTATTTTTTAGTTTTTCTTTCTTTCTTTCGTTACAGAACCTAGCCCACTATGAAGGAGGCAATCAACTACGCCGGGCCGACCATCAAAATCGTGGACAGTCCTGTCCCCAAACCAAATGATGACCAGGTCATGATCAAAGTGATCGTGTCGGGCTCAAACCCGAAAGACTGGAAGATGCCGGAGTGGGCGGCGCTGTCGGGGGACGTTGACGATGACAATGGCATGTCTGGAACGCTTCAGAGAGCTGGGAAGGGAGTCAATCAAGGGGATGATATTGCTGGGATCGTTCAGGCAGTTGGCGCGAATGTTGTAGAATTTAAGGTATTTATCGATCGAATCGATACTTATTAAATACGCGACGGGGCCATTGATTTTAACCTCTCGTGAAACCGAACAAGGAAGTTGAAACGAGCAAAAGCTAACTTGGACCTGCACCTTTTGTTAGCCGGGCGATCGGGTTGCGGCATTTCATGAAATGTGTATGCCGGGTGGCTCCTACGCCGAATATGCGATTGCTTGGAGCCATACAACTTTCCATCTACCAAAACATACATCGTTTGAAGGTGCGACGCGAAAAGAAAATCACTTATACCTATTAGACGTACCACTGTTCGCTCGAGAGATATAATGTGCTGATATTTGCCCCTCAATCGACACAGAAGCCGCAACGATCCCCCTCGCCACCTTGACCGCCGCTGTATCTCTATACCCAAACCACCGCCTTCCGTTCCCATGGGTCCCTGCCCAGGAGCGAATTCCACTAATCATCTACGGCGCAAGCACGGCCGTGGGATCCTTCGCTATCAAGCTAGCTTGCAAGAGTAACATCCATCCCATCATCGCAGTTGCCGGCAAAGGCTCGCATTACGTGGAAACCCTTATCGACCGGCGCAGAGGGGATGCAATCGTCGACTACCGCGGCGGGCTGAAGGCCACTGTTGAAGGAATCACAAGTAGTCTACAACAAGCGGGACACTCCACGGTACACCATGCGCTCGACTGCGTCGCCATCAAGCGTAGCACGGAGGTACTGAGGAAGTGCGTTGCCCCAGGTGGGCTGATAGATGTTGTGGAGGCCGAGGCTAATATGGACGTGTCGCCTGCAAGGGCCATGCCTATCTCGGTGGGGTCAGTGCATGGTATGGCTGGGTTTGAGAACAATGAACGCTTGGGCTTTGTGATGTGTCGGTATTTCACTCGGGCGCTGATGCTGCGGGAGTTCTCGGGCCATCCGTATGAAGTTCGGCCTGGTGGTCTGGCAGGGGTGCAGCAGGCATTGATGGACCTGAAGGAGGGGAAGGCGAGCGCTACTAAGTATATTTTCCGCATTGCGGATACACCTGGGATTTCATGATATTGTTTTCGATGTACTATGTAAGTTCCAATGGATTCTTTTCGGCCAATCTTCCGATCCTAGGTTGCGGGCAGATCCAATTTCAACAATTACCGTCGCCTGTGATCTGTGCCTGGCAAAGAGGATAAAAATAGGTGAGAAGAGGGGGAAAAGAAAAATAAACGAACAGGAAAATGATCCAATATCTCTCCATCATCCACTCATATTTGTCCCCGTCGTCAGTTGGTTCTCAGTATACTAACCCACCAAGAGAGAAAGTCATTGCTTGGCTCTCTTTTCTTTTTTTGCGGCCCACTCCCTTGCCAAAAGGTAAATTTCCCTGAAGAATGGAGATTAACCGTGCCATGCTTACTCACTCTCTGTAGTGAGTGCGCCACAGCATACAGAAAACCACACTGTAAAGAAAATATTTTGAATATAGTAATCTTCAAAAATTAATTAATAATCATCACCACATCTATCTATAACATAAAGATTATCTATATACTCATTAGAAGGTGTAGAATCCACTGTAAGTTGAGATTCTATAGAATTATCTTGTTGTGGTTGAGTGACTGTAGATTTTATAGATTTTGATTCCAATTGATTGAAGAGTCTTATTGAACATCTTTTTCATCTCATCTGCTCTACAGGTTGCAATCTTGTGATTGGCATTCTTAATAGTAAGGACTAGACTGGCCGCCGGGACCATGAATTTCACATTTGATCCCATTTGATCTGGTCTCATACATTTCTTGGCGTGAGTCCCACCAGGACCAAGCCTCAAAAAAATCTGAAAATGAACTCTTTCTGAGAGAAATGACATGAAAAATGACCAGATTTAATTCAAGAACAGTGAAATGAAAGTAATTTCTCAGAATAAACTGTGAAAGATAATCATTCTTTCAAAATCAGAATAGAACTGAGACTGAAGATTAAATTCAGTCTTATTCAATTTATTCAGTGATTACTTATATAATCAGAATTTGATAACAATTATTAATAATACTTATGAAATACCTAAATACATTCTTATATAAGTTTATTCTTCACTTTCTTATAAAAACTATACTTCTCTGATATACTGTGATCAGAGATATTAAACTATCTGATAATTTCATGTTTTATTCACAGATCACAGAAGCTTCTACAACTGCTTCATTATAAACTCACTTGATTTTTTGAATAAGAACCCGCCGATAAATTCATTAAAAAGCTCTCAATCATATGAGCATTTTGACCCCATTGCTGACTGCATACCCCGTGTGGTGGTGAAGTTATCCAGCCAAATGTGAACCAGACATTGTTTGAAACTTCTGTGTGGGATTATCCCCTGTTCTCCTCTATCACACCACAACCCCGGGCCAAATTGCCATACAAATTGTAAGGTGAAAAGACCTAGTCATATGCATCAATCTTCTCGATTTTGGAAGATCTCTGATCTGTAATTGTGAAGATATCTGAGAAGCAATATCTGCGAAAACCCTGTCCATCTTTGATGTTCCAAAACATCAACACCAAGTCCCACCCTTGTACCGCCCTTTTTCAATCTGGCTCATCCTCAGCAGAAAAATACAAAAAGATACCTCAGTAATAATATCAAGCACATAATTAACAGACACTTCTGAAGTGCAACTTCTGTGAATACTCTGTCTGTCTTCAATGTATCTAGATATCAATGCCAAGTCTCACTCTTGTATCACTTCTCTCAATCTGGCTCATCACTGGCAGAATAATACAAAAAGATACCTTGATAACAGTACTCAATATATAATCAGTGAATAATGAGTTAACAGAACAAGTTAACAGCATATCAACAACTATAAATTCAGTATATTTCAAGATTTGACTGAGTCTTTGATCTCTGCACAGTGAGATATATTAAATCTAGTTTTAATATCTCAATATTTAATAGATTCTGCAAGAAATTAAGAACAGTAATACTAAATTTCTATTAAATTTAAGAATTAACTCTATATTGATATAATTATTGACAAAGTCTTTTATTTTAAGATATAAATAATCAGTTCCTCTACATCTCACTGATAATATTTATATTATTATATAGAAATAGACTTATATTCTCTATAATATCAAGACTCTGAAGAGGAAAAGTCTTGATAGAGAGTATACAGTAGTATTATTATTATTATTTTTCAATTATAGATGTATACAGTCAGAGACTATAACATCTATCTAAGAACTTTTAATTCTCAGAGTTTTTTCTATATTTATAAAGTTAACTATTATACATTCATCAATTTCAGATATATAAAATCAGAAAATTTCAGCTCAGAATATAAAAACTATTTATAAATTACAGTATTTTAACATCTTCTGATACTTTGAAATCATTTGATAATATTATGACAAAAGAAAAGAGAACACAGTCTTAAAGATAGACATATTAAATAGATAGATAGAAAAGAATAGAAAGAAAAAAGTAAAGTAAAATAAAGAGAGATCTACAGAACAAGATCTCTACAGTTTATATCTTAAGCTATATACATATTTTAACACTCTATATAACTGACTGCTGTCTCTGTTCTCTCAGACCTGCTTCAGAGATTATTATTCTCTCTAAAGAGCTGCTACTCAGCTAGCTTCTATAACTAGCTTATTTATAAGTAAGATTCTCATTAAGAATAATATCAGAGCTACTCAATTCTAGTTAAGTCTCTAATCTTTCAGCTGCTAATCTCAGTATTTCAGCCTATCAATTGACTGTCACAGTCTTGCTTACACTAATCATCTATTAAGAGCATCTAGATCTCATCTCATCTAAGTTCTTACTAGACCTGAGATGTTCTAATCAGATAGTTTTTAAATATTGATTCTCTGAAAGTGAGTGTTTAGAGTGAGAGAGATAAGACCTGATCAGTTAAGCTTAATAATGATTTACTATTCTGCAGATATTCTAGATCTCAATCACTCTAGTACTGATCTAACTTGAAGCATCTGAGAGACTGTTAATTCTAAGATCAGTGAGAATTAGTATCTGAGAACCTCTGAGATGAACATCTTAAGCTTGATAATGATTTACTATAGTGCACCCGGGGGCCTCTGATACTGTTTTATAACTTAACAGTGAAAGCTGTGATTAAGATGACTCTTACAGAGTTTGAACCTACTCTCTCTTGACATTCATTCTCTGAGGAGAAGGCTACTAATTAAGACTTCATAATAGCGTAGTTAATCACTACGCCACTGAGCCGTATACAGTAGTGTATATCTTAGCAGTTTCTATCTTATTCTTCTGCAGCAGTTAATACAAAAAAAAAGATCTTAGAAATAGTTTTTTATTTCTCTTGAAAAAGTAAGATGTTTTTCTCTGAATTTTATACAATATTCTTACAAAGAATTAAAAACAGAGTTATTTTCTGTCATAATTTCATATTCTTTTAAGTAAGAATTACCTTTTCAGTAACTGAAGAGCTTTTATTAATACTTAATTCTCTTTTATACTCTTTATTAACTGATTTGAGTTGCATACTTATTGTGTGAGAAGAATTGAATAATTTAGAATAAAATTGAATAGTTTTAATCAATTTCTCTGCAAAAAATTAACTTATTTTTTATCAGTTTTTCTCTTAAAAACTGTCATATTATCTGATTTATTATCAATTGATATCATACTTTTTCTCACTATATCTCAAGAAAGAGTTTGTAAAGATTTTATTGATTTATCTTAAAAATCAATTTTAGTTTATTAGATTCTCTTCAAAAATCTAATCTAGTTACTGATAGACTGGCCGCTGAGACCATGAATTTCACATTTGATCTCATTTGATCTGGTCTCATACATTTTTTGGCGTGAATCCCGCTGGGACTGGCTATCAAAAAAACATGTAAAGTGACTATATATCAGATCTTAAAATGAAACCATGACTTGAAAAAAATGAGAAAGTGATCTCATTTGATTCCATTTAGTTTCATTCTTGACATAAAGTTACTATTTTTAGACATTTTAAGGTTTTTTTTAGACTATTTTTAATTTTTTAAAAAGTAACGCTTTTTGATAATGCTCAAATGAGATTTAAAGTCATTTAAAGCAATAAAAATAATTTAAATTGAGAAGTGGAAATCATGGTCTCATTTGAAAAATGTGACAAGAGTAGACAGTAAGTCTCACTGAGACAGTATGAGACTACTATCTAATGTTAAAACCATGTAATGGGATCAGTTGAATTAGTAATGAAACTATCAAAAAATCTGGTCCTGGTCTCAGACACGGTCACACGGTCAGTCTAGTTACTGAACTAGTGTGAAAAAAATCAGATGTTTTATATATAAAAGTCTTTCATTCTTCTTTTGAAACAGTCTGATTAACTTTTCAATTGAAAATAGACTAATAAACCTCTTAACTAAAACAGTCTGATCAACTTTTCATTTAAAAATAGATTAATAAATCTCTCAATTGAAACAGTCTGATCAACTTTTTATTCAGTGAGTAAAATGAGTTTAAGAGTACACTCAGTTGATATGAAAAAAGATGTTTTCCCAGATACTATTTCTGAGATTGAAATTCTAAAGAGAAGAGAGAAGGAAGAAATAGAGAAATAATAAGTTCTTGAAATACAGAAACTGAAAAAAGCAAGCAAAATTCTTGAAAAACAGTGTCTGAGTGAGAAGAATGAAGAAGTTCTGTTAATTCTTCATACTCAGACTAGATAACTACAAGAAGTGATCAAGTTCAAACTTGAAATTTTAAACATAATTTAAAAAACATTGAAATCTTCTAGTACAGTCACTGACTCTTTTTCATCTTCTACTTCTTCATCTTCTTCTTCAAATCAGAAGAAAATATATGCTCAAGTAGCAGAATCTGCTATCTCTAAACCTGCTATTTTAAAACCTGTTAAAAATTCTGAGAAAACTGAGAAGAATATTACTCAGATCTCTGTTCATAGAAAGAAAAAAAAAGAAATGTAAAAAGAGAAGAACTTTCAAATCTTCAGAAATAAAAGACTTATTCTCAAAGTCTCAAATCAGAAGATCTTGCAAAAAAACCAGCTAAACTT